AAAAAAAAAACAAACTCAAGGACACATGGCACAGTGGATAAAGGCATTAGTTAGATCCAGTGACAGGACCCAAAGCGTGTGAGTTCAATTCCCGGTTAGGTCAGTGGAGAACTTTCAGAGGGAAATTAACAGGAGATAACTGACAACTGACATCCATTAAAACATGGCACGTGGAACTAGAACAGTCTACCCTAAATACTAAAGGGCCGAAACATTGTAATAAATATGGCGACAAAGATGAGGACAATAGTCCGAATAATGTAAATAATGTACATAATACCTCATACAGAGAGATATTCCTTTTTACTTTGCGTTTACTTAATGTCATCGGCCCTAACATGAAAGCATTCTTTTCCAGTCGCTCAATAAATAAGATTTCTCGGATATCCACGCCGGTAAACGAAAATAAATAAATATACTGTTTAATAAATAAACGGAGCGTCTACTTGAATACGAGTTAACCACTAAAAATAACGAAGTGATGAAAATATACTAATTTCGGAATTTGGCGAAAAATCTATCCTACCTAAGAGTCAAAAGGACCCATAATAATAATAATATCTGAGGTTAGGTCAGTTGACCAGATCCTACTCATCAGCCTTGGCAGAATTCAAAAGTGTCTCTGAGCCCTTGTGGGTAACGAATTATTCTCCACCCTTCAACCTTTCTCCTACAGGCGGAATGTAGCAGGCCTACCTGTGCTTTATCGCTACTTCCACAGAAAGTGTTCGGACAAACTACATTCCCTGGTCACGCAAGTCAAACCTTCACGCCTAGGACCCGCCATGCTTCTTACATTGTAGCAAATCACCCATATTCCCTCCGTATACAATTGGCGTGAAGTAAGGTTCCCCTCGAACAGCTTCTTCCCACTAACCCCCAAGGAACAAACTACCAATCTTAACCTGTTCAAGGCTAGGGTTAATTGTTATCTTCCCCTCCTATGCACACAAATGGCCTCCAAACGTAATCCTCTAGCTCAAGTGGCCTCTGAATCTTGTAAAGGGTGAACCTCGTTGTAAAAACGTCAACCTCTCACCTATTTGCTTTTCGACCAGCCTCTTTTTTTTTTTTTTAAATATTTTTCGTTGTGGATACCTACTGCATATCGCTTAGTTTTTCAGTTGATGGTTTTATTAAGCATGGCTTAGATTTGACACAAGGCCGAAAAAGTATGGGACAGCCGGTGAGGATTGAACTCATTACTCAGTGATAAACTGTTATAGCGAGACAAGCAGTAGTCTGCCATATGATGCTGATACGTACACTTGATTTTTTTTTTATTTCTTGTCCTCAGTGTCCAACGTGATGAGATATGTTTAATTTCAACTCTGAATAACAAAATCGTTGTTTTCGTTTCACAGGTCACTGCTTTCTACAAAACAGAACAGGGTATCAACGAAACGTTGCAGAGTGAATTTTCATACTTGAATGTCACCAGAAATTCTTACGGCGACGAAACAGAGTTCAACTCGATTGAACCCCCAGCTGACGTCAAACAGAGTAAATGTTTCTCAATTATTTCCCTCATGTCCTGCACACACAAAATCCAAACCACCCTTTAGATTTTAAGAAAACTTAAAATGTTTGAATTTATTCCTCATATATCACCCAGAATTATTTAATCGGCTATGATATCAAAATTCAGTCTGAATAATTAAAAAGGAGGTTTTGATTTAATTAATCCGTTTTTACGGCTTATCAACCCATTGCAGGTTATTTAAAACCAGAATTGTTTTTTTTTTTTAAATGTAAGATTTTTAGATAATAATGATTTAGTGATACAAGTTTTATTAATTAACCCATAGCTGGGGGGAAGAGAGAAAAGAGTGAGAAAGAGAAAGAGAGAGATGTGTATTCATACCTTTCCTAAGGGTATTTGCATATAAATGAATATAACGAAACCAATGGGAATTGGAACACGGCTCTCCTATTAACAATTTCGAACACCACCCGCACATCCAAGCTTACAGCACTTGTTATTCTAGGTATATCTTGATACTGACCAGGCTCGACTTCGGTGGCGTACGGGAACCGGTGTTTCAAATTGATATACCCGTACCCTCCCCAAAAAAAAAAAAAAACGTAAAATTTTATAACACACACACACACACACACACACACATATATATATATATATATATATATATATATATATATATATATATATATATATGTGTGTGTGTGTGTGTGTGTGTGTGTGTGAAAAGTGTATATAAATATAAATAAATATATATATGTATAATTATTTATATATTATATACGGGTACTTATTAGAAAGCGCTCAATATCAGAGATAGAGCTAACATATTTGGTTGGATAGATGTGACCCTGGGTTTCACGCTTTAGCGATGGTCAGCGTGAAATCCCAGGGTCACAAACTCACATCTATCCAACCAAATATATATATATATATGTGTGTGTGTGTGTGTGTGTGTGTGTGTGAAAAGTGTATATAAATATAAATAAATATATATATATATAATTATTTATATATGATATGCGCGGTACTCATTAGAAAGCGCTCAATATCAGAGATAGAGCTAACATATTTGGTTGGATAGATGTGAGTTTGTGACTCTGGGTTTCACGCTTTTGCGATCGTCAGACAAACTGATTAATGTTTTAAAAAAATTGGGTTTATGTAGATTGCGTGTATTGGTGTTATTGTGGAAGTGGTGGGGGAAATTTCGTCGTTTTGTCATTCATCGTACTAACGCAAACATCGATATATGCAGACACACACTCACACCCGGTCGTCCGTCGGGACCCACACATACACAAACGTATGTGGGCAGTTTCGGCCATGACACATGCATGTATACGGGTGGTGTATCGATTTTAACCGATAAATTTGTCGAAACTTCAGTTTAAAAATTCAATAAATCTTAATATTTATTATGTCTATCGATGAAAATAATGTCGGATATCCAAAATGGCAATGCCAGAAGTGAGTAAGAAACGATACTGCGATTGAATCCTTATCGACCGCTTTACCAGATAAGTAGTAGGCATTAACAGAGTGGAATGCATCAAGACATGTCATATATTTATCAATATATATATGTGTTTATATATATATATATATATATATATATATATATGTGTGTGTGTGTGTGTGTGTGTGTGTGTGTGTGTGTGTGTGTGTGTGTGTGCAAATATGTAGAAAAATAAGAATTAGAGCTTAAATTATATTTTTTTTAGAATATGATTCCTTTGCTACATAAGAGTTCTCATGTTTCAAAAACGAGAGCGGAAAACCTCAATATAATTATTAAAATTAAATTGAATTAAAGTATCAAGCCCTGCTTCATCCTCAAGCGTGACCTCTTTCCAAAGGTGACGGATATGTGGATACAAATTGTTAACTCTTAGTCTCCTTATCAAAATGGTCGCTCCAGCCGTTTCCATAGTAATTAATTTTACGAATGAACATGCTTATAAAGATGCGTAAATTTCAAGATTGGTTATTCCAAAAATTTCGCTTGAGAATGGAACAGAGCTTGTTACTTTAATTCAATTTAATTTTAATAATTATGTTGAGGTTTTTGGCTCTTGTTTTTGAAACATGAGAACACTTATGTAGCGAAAGAATCATAATTTTAAAAAAATAATTATAATATATATATATATATATATATATATATATATATAGAGAGAGAGAGAGAGAGAGAGAGATATTGTGTGTGTGTGTGTGTATTTAGGTAGCAAATTCTCTTTTAGGCATTTCTGATTAAATAAAAAACAAATATTATATCTGCTTATTTTTAGCATAATCCGTTCATATTCACGGATTCTGATAAAAATAAGCACATATAATTTTTGTAATATAATATATATATATATATATATATATATATCAAGACATGTCATATATTTATTCAATGCTTTATTATTAACAAGTAATTTCCTCTACCAAAGTTTCAAGGATGTCTTATTTACGTCTAATGAATGTCTTATTTTCTAAAATTGGAAAGCAAATCTAAAGTTGAGATACACATAGCCGTCGAAAGTGTATCGGGTCCAAATTCAGG